AACCTGCTGCTTCTTTCAGAAGTAAACAAAGTCAAACATTTGTGGTTTATGCCTACGAACAAGGTCAAAGAATGTCCATTAGTAACTCACAGAACTTGGCAGACGTCGAACTGCTCATTTCGCATTTTTTGAAGAAAATCCACCAGGAGAAAATGGTAGACTTGCTCTCTCTCATTCTTTCTTCGTCCGTTTCTCGCGTCCTCCTTCCTTCCCCTCTCCTCTCGACTTACATCCTCGCCTTTTAGGTCTTTCGATCCATTTCGAGAGTCTGGAATCTTCAAGTTATTGGGTTCCTCTTCTTTTTCTCTTCTATCTCTTCTTTTTCCCTCTTCTCCTCCTTCTCTCCCTTTTTCCTCTTCTCCTCCTTCCATTCTCTCCACCGTTCCGCGTCCCTCCTCTTCCCCCTCCCCCTCTCCAACCTCTTCCTTATTCGCCCCCAATTCCAAATGTTTCGGAGATTCACACGAATTGTTTTGGTCTCCGGTGCTTCGAACCTCCTGCTTCGACCCCGCCTCCACCAGCTGCTGGACGGCCCTCGCGCCCTTGGAGGCTACGATGAGAGCCTTGGTGGAGTCGTCCAGGAGTTTCTTGGCCAGCCACGCGGTCGGGTCCTGGCGCTTCCCGAGGGCGCGGGGGTCGTGGAGGTCGAGCAGCTGTTAGGGAGAAAGGAAAATGTGTGAATCAGCAATGAAAATGATGTATGAATACGAATAATTTCACATTGTACTCCCTCCTTCTATCCCTCTCCCACTTTCGCTCTCCCCCCTCTCCCTCCTTCTATCGCTCTTCCTCCTTCTATCCCTCTCCCTCCTTCTATCCCTCTCCCGTTTCTCAACTCTCCCCCTCTCCTCTCCTTCTATCTCCTCTCTCCTTCTACTCTCCTCTTCTCCGTCTCTTCTTACTATCCCTCTCCCGTTCTCATCTCCCCCCCCTCCTTCCATCTATCCTACTCCCCCTCCCCCTTCTATCCCTTCTATCCCTCTCCCGTTCTCCTCTCCATCTATCCCTCTCTCCCTTCTATCCATCTCCCCTCCTTCTATCCCTCTCGTTCTCCTCTCCCCCCTCTCTGCTTCATCCCTCTCCCCTCTCCCCTCCTTCCTATCCTCTCCTCCTTCTCTCCCTCCTTCTACCTCGTCTCCTCCTCTCCTCCCTCTCCCTCCTTGCTATCCCTCTCCGCCCCTCTCCTCCTTCTATCCCTCCTCCCCCCTCTCCTCCTTCTATCCTCTCGCCCCTCCTCCTTCCTATCCCTCTCCCTCCTCTTCTATCCCTCCTTCTCCCTCCTTCTATCCCTCTCCCCCTCTCCCTCCTTCTATCCTCTCCCCCCTCGTCCTTCCTTCCTTATCCCTCTCCCTCCCTCCTCTCCCTCCCCCTCTCCCTCCTCCTATCTCCTCCTCCTTCTATCCTCTCCCTCTCTCTATCCTTCCTTCCCTCTCCCCCCTCTCCCCTCCTTCTATCCCTCTCCCCTCTCTCTCCTTCATTATCCCTCTCCCCCCTCTCCCTCCCTTCTATCCCCTCCCCCTCTCCCTCCTTCTATCGCTCTCCCTCCTTCTATCCCTCTCCCTCCTTCTATCCCTCTCCCGTTCTCACTCTCCTCTCCCTCTTCTATCGCCTCTCCCTCCTTCTATCCCTCTCCCGTTCTCACTCTCACTCCTTCTATCCTCTTCCTTCCATCTATCCCCTCTTCGCCCCCTCTCCCTCCTTCTATCCCTCTCCCTCCTTCTATCCCCTCTCCCCGTTCTCACTCTCCCCCCTCTCCCTCCTTCTATTTCCTGCTCCCTCCTTCTATCCTCTCCACGGTTCTCACTCTTCCCCCCTCTCTCCTTCTATCCCCTCTCCCTCACTTCTATCCTCTCCCGTTCTCACTCTCCCCCGCTCATCCTTCCATCCTATTCCCTCTCCCTGCTTCCCCACTCTCCCTCCTTCTATCCATCTCCCTCCTTCTATCCCTCTCCCGTTCTCAACTCTCCCCCCTGCTCCCTCCTTCTATTCCTCTCCCTCCTTCTATCCCTCTCCCGGTTCTCACTCTCCCCCTCTCGCCGTCCCTTCTATCCCTCTCGCCTCCTTCCTATCCCTATCCGGTTTTTCTCACTCGTCACCCCCTCTCCTTCCATCTATCCCTCTCCACCCCTCTCCTCCTTCCCTAATCCTCTCCCTCCTTCTATCCGCCTCTCCCGTTTTCTCACTCGTCCCCCCTCATCCCCTCCTTCTATCCCTCTCTCCCTCCTTCTATCCCTACTGACCTCCTTCTAATCCCTCTCCCCTTCTCACGTCTCAACCCCCTCTCCCTCCTTCTATCCCTCTCCCCCCCCTCTCCCTCCTTCTATCCCTCTCCCCCTCTCCCTCCTTCTATTCCCTCTCCCTCCTTCTATCCCTCTCCCATCCTTCTAATCCCTCTCCCTCCTTCTAAAATCCCCTCGCTCCCCTCTCCCTCCTCTATCCCTCTCCCCCCTCTTCCTTCCTTCTATCCCTCTCCCTCCTTCTATCCCTTCCCCCTCTCCTC